TAATAGTGACTCAATTAATTGTGTCAAATAATTGCATCAATTGCATCAAGGATTTACAAATTTCAGCAACATGTATAGTAGGGACCACCTGCTTCAAAATAAAAAATAAAAATAAAAATAAAATTTTCTTGTTATAAAGTTTCTAAATTAGATTTTTGTATTATAAAAATAAACAAAAAAAAAAAAAAAAAACAAGTAATAGCTATTATTTATTTTTTTAATTAAAAACTATTTTTTGAATTAACAAAAGAATTAATAAAATTTAGAATATTTTTTTATTTTTTAAAGTATATTAAATTTTTTTAAATATATGGTATATAATTATCGTTCTAGTTAATTAAAATAGTATACTTTTATAATAAATATAGAAGATAATCAAGTTATTGAAAAGTTTTTTTAAATTATAGTTTTTCTTATAGTGAGATCAAAATTATTGTATTTTTGATAGCTGAAAAATTTAGATCTTTAAATTTTAATAAAGTAGTATTTACTATAGTATAAAAGTTGATAAGATTAAAAATGTTTAAGTTATAAATGGAAATAAAAAGTAATAAAATGAAAGCTTTTTTTATACGGTATATTTTTTCTAGAAAACCGAACAGTGATCAGCAACCCAAAATTATAAATAGTATATAAGAAATACTCTATTGTCATGGCTGATGCAAATTTACCTTTCCAAAAAGTGTTGTCGGATGAAGAGTCGAGGAGTCTACAAACAGGTATTCGGAGTCTATCTTTGCTTTTACTTTCATTAAAGTTAACATTTCTCATATTATCTGGGTAAATCCAGTTGATGTTTATATATCGGACATAGAACCGAAAGAGACGGGTCGCGTTCTAAAGTAAATGACCATCAAATTTTCATACGCGCGCATGTATGTAATTCTTTGTAAGATTGACTAAATTGCCTATGAAAGATTCATGCAGAACCATTGCCCACAATCCAAGGCCTTGGATCATGTTAAAAGAGTAAGAAAAACTTGTCATGATGAAGGTAAAAAAGTCTTTTCTCCTCTTCACAACATAAGAGGTTCTCCAGCTAAATTCTAATTTGAACCCTAACATATTTGTTTTAATAAATTTCTATGAGGAAAGGATTTACTTTAAGTATTCTCATATGCTTGACTACTTCCATATCAGTTGATAATTTAAACTTATTGATTCAACAACACAACCTTGAATCAATAATTATCCCTCGGATTCATCAAATACCAAAATACCCTGCGGTCTCAAGAACTCAATTTGAAGAATGGAAAAAATTATGGCCAATCAACTTTCACGAGAATTCGAGGTCTGTGAATGTTATAAACTTAAGACCAATTCGAACTCAACGGGAAAAATGTTATTCAATGTATAATCAATGATTGTAGGGATTCCAATTTCACTTTGGATGAAATTGCTGCTCTCAAATATTACATGACTAGAGCCGTCAAATTGGCGGAGATTGCAAAATCTAGGGGTGAGGTAAGATAAAGCTTATCGGTCTAGTCCATTTGACTTCAAAATTCTCTTATAGTTTCTCTTTCTGAAGGTGCCCGTTGGTTGTCTAATAGTTGATCCCCAAAGTTCAAGTATCCTATGTGAGGCGAATGATACGAGGATATTAACGGGGAACCCACTTCGACATGCTGTTCTGAATTGTATAAATGCCTTAGCATTTTCTAAAAAACCGAATAACGACGAGAAAAACGCGAATGATACCTTATTACCGCAGAAGAGAAAGTCTGAGATGGATGATGACCAGCTAATGCAGTCTGAGTACATTTCATTGGTGTCAACCCCTGAAACATCTGATGAAATAGAAAACAAAGCTGCCTATTTATGCAAAGGATATGATATATTTATTACTCATGAACCTTGTATTATGTAAGTTACAATATGTTGCGAAAAAATTAAATAATAAGAAAAAGTCGTAAACTGACATTCGTTGCGTTACCCACAGGTGTTCTATGGCTTTGGTGCATTCAAGGATTGGTCGAGTATTTTACGGAAGGTCGAATAACACCTCAGGAGGTTTAGGTTCTTGTTACAAAATTAATACTCACCGTGCATTAAATCATCACTTCAAAACATATAAAGGTTTCTTAGATAATCAAATTGAAGCTCTCGAAATTGATTGTTGACATACATATAATTAACCATTAATAGCATGCTTCTTAATCTTCTTTAAATATATTTTTGTTTAATTAGAAACGATCAAAATAATAAATTATTAAATTTAAATATTATAAAAATAAAAATATTTAAATACCGTATATTTAAGACATTAAAATTAAAATTTTTTGTTATTACAATTTTATCAAATTTTTTATTTTCAATTATTTTACAGTTTAGATATTAGCTTTATTTATTTATTTTATTTTATTTTAAATTGCAATATATATTTTTTATATTAAGTTTTTTTCAATAAATCAATTATTTATTTATTTATTTATTTATTTATTTTACTTTTAAATTGCAACTTGAGTATATTTATTGATCTTTAATACAATATAAATATTATACTATAGTCAAATATTTTACTAATTGCAATACACTTATAAAAAAGTTTATGAATTTGTATGTAATTCTTGAATTTTTAATATTAAGATCATTATATTGTTTATATTATTCAATTATTTATTAATTATTTTATTACAAGAAAATAGGTTTATTAAACTACAATATTTTAGATTTTTTTAATTTTTTTAATTTTTTAAATATAATTATAAGAAAAAAAATTTTTTGTTCTTTTTAAAAAAAATAATATACAAAAATATTTTATATTTTAATATAAAAATTATTACTAATTTATATTTAAAATAGTATCAAAAATAATATTAACTTTTAATATATAAGTTATAATTTATTTTATTAAACTTATAATAAATTTAGTACTATTGTTACTATTATTATTATTATTATTTTCAAATTTCAATAAGAAATAATATAGAGGATAAATAAAAGTTCATAAACAACCTTTTTTAAAAAAATATAAAATTTAATTTAAAAACCAATTAAACTTTTTTAATAAAAATATACTCAATATATTTATATTAGGTGTTTAATTTAAAAAAATATACTTAATATAAAAAAAATATCTGCTAATAAATAATTAACTTCAGAATAAAAAGAAGTCATAATTTATGATTATAAAAAACAAAATATATATTATATTATTGCAATCAATATCAGATACAAAAAAAAGTATTGTGAATAATATTATAAAATGGTTTATTGAAATTGGATCAATAAAACTATAAATAAAGCAATTGATATAATCAAAACTTCTTGATAATTATACTTATACTATCCTTAAAAAAATAATTTAAAAAAATAATAAATATATAATTGTTGTGAAACTAACAAATCTTTTTATAGCTAAGATCAGAATTAAAGTATTTGAAAAATTTATTTATTGAACCTTGCATAAAAAATAGCTAACAAGTTATATTATCTACTTTAAATTCTTCTTTTTAAAAAAAAATATTGAAGACTAACTTATCTAGTGTCTTATATATAAATATTGAATCACTTGTAAGTTTAAAAAAATAGTTTGGAGCAATAAGTCTATATTTACTCAATTTTAGTAAAATAATAAATATTTTATTTGGTATAATCTATGCAAGAAGTGAAATGTTAAGTGTTTTTTTATAACTGTTAATTATAACCTGTGTCATATGTATTGATGTTTTTCTTGATTCAATATTAACTTTCTTATTTTTCATTATACTTTAGTTAAAAATAGATTAAAAAAAAATATTTTAGAATTAGTTTTTCATTAAAAAAAATTTTTTTTTAGATTTATTTTATTATTTTTTTTTATAGTAAAGTTATTGTATATATTAAAATTTTTTGAAAATACCTCTTGCCAACTTTTAAAAATTTCAATGAAACTAATTGAAATTGTAATAGTTACTCTTGATTTCAACAAGATAATATAAGACCATATATTGTAAAAGTTATAAATGAATTTTTTAATCATTAAAATGTTTAGGTTATAGATTAATTTTTTAAAGTTCAAATCTTAAACCAATTAAAAATATTTGGCATTATATTAAAGTTAAAGTTTATAAAATCAAGCCTAGTAATTTGGTAGAGATTGAAAATTGTATTTTAAAATATTGGAATAAGATTAATCCAAAGTATTGTAAATAATTAATTAAGAGTATATTATATTATATTATAGCTTATATTGCAATCAAAAAAAAAAAATTACAAAATATTAAAAATAAATTTAATTATATAAATATACAGTATATACAAATCAATTAAAAAAAAAAAGAATATAATTAGATAAATAAATTTTTTATATACTATAGTGGTTAAATAAAAATTTTAAGAAATTTTTTAAATTTAATTTTCTTAAAAAAACTATTGCATAATTTATATATATATTTTTTTATTTTAAAGGTTGGTTTTCAAAGATTTTAAATATATATTTTATTAATTTAATTTATTATTTAAATTTTAAAGTGTCCATAAACTTTTGTCTACCCTCTGTACTTGATTTTGATTTATTTGATTTATTTATTTTTATACTTATTTATATTACATATTTAATATAGTAATTGGTTAAATTAAAAATAACATCCATTATCTATTTCTAAAATTGGTTTAATAATATATCTAATTTTTTTCGCATGGCATCGCATACTGGGAAAGCTTTCAAATTTGGAAAAACCTGGGGATATAATATCTGAATCATCTATGCTGATTCGATACATACATGTTAGATTGATACTTTCGTAAAGAATAGAATTTGAACACTTGCATTTAATGCCTATTAAAAAAAAAAAGGATTTTGCCACTTTCAATAGAAGCATAAAAGATATAATAATTGTACTGGCATATGATATGAAACGGATATAAAGTAGATGTAAGCATATATTTATAAGAATGTTCATCGCTAAGTTAATGTCTAAATATATGGGTAATTATCTTTGAAGGCGGACAGGGATTTTTTGGACCTTATAATTGTAGTCTTAACATTTTGTATTGTATACGTATTATAAAGAATAGGGGCCGAAAAATCTTATTCAAAATTTCGTCGCTTTCAAAGATAATTGCTCAATTATGTAAAAATCGCGAACGCTCGATTAAAATTTAAACGCTAGATCATCTAAAAATTTCATTTAATGCCTGTAATTAGTTTATCAATTGATTTGATCAACATGATTATCACATGAGTAACAATTTTGTTTCAGTTTTCTCGACCGATTATTTTTTTTTAGCTCACACTGAAAGGCTGGCACTCCTGTCAATTTTTAGGCATTCTCTCTTCAAGCCATCAAGAGCCTTGAAAAAATCGTTTTTTACAATTTCGAAGACCATGTCCGAATATACAGTTCGTAAAATTGGGTCCCCAAACACTCTAGATTACAGGCTTTATATTGGTAGGCTTCGATGGTTGATAAGAAATGTTCTACATTCACATATTTAACCATTTTATGGTTTTTAGAAAGAACGGGGACCGTTATCTCACCATTCCATGACATACCTTTGTTTGCTAATGAAAGCAAGACCGTATTAAATTTTGTTGTAGAAATCCCAAGATGGACTAACGCCAAAATGGAGGTGAGTATTGTTTCTCATCATTGGTTTATTGAATTTGAGGATTTAATACATTCTATTATTAGATTTCCAGGGAAGAACCATTAAATCCAATAAAGCAAGACGTGAAGAAAGGTAAGCTTCGATACGTTCGTAACTGCTTCCCGCATCACGGATACATTTGGAACTATGGAGCTTTCCCTCAGGTAATTTTAAGTTATTATGAAGCTTGAGTTATTACTCTTCCTTTGTTATAGAAATTGATTTAACTGATTTGCAGACATGGGAAGATCCTACGCAAACTCATGCTGAGACTAAAGCTAAAGGTGACAATGACCCACTCGACGTCTGTGAAATTGGAGAGCAAGTAGGATACACTGGTCAAGTCAAACAGGTTAAGGTTCTTGGAATTATGGCTCTTTTAGACGAAGGTGAGCATTTTTCCTATGCAGAAATATATTAAAGCGAGTTTATTGATTCCATTATTTTTCTTAGGTGAAACAGACTGGAAAGTTATTGTCATTGATGTCAATGATCCTTTGGCAAATAGATTGAATGGTTAATGTCTTTTATTTCTTTTCCTTTTTATGAGTTATGAGAATTTATTATTCATTAAATAATATATTAACTAAATTTTAATGCAGATATCGAAGATGTTGAAAGACATTTGCCTGGTCTCATCCGTGCTACTAACGAATGGTTCCGTATTTATAAAATTCCTGACGGGAAACCGGAGAACCAATTTGCCTTTAGCGGTGAGCTGAATTTTAATTATTATTTTTTAAGAAAAAAAAATGAAAATTTATATATATGAGTATCTACAACTAACAGGTGAAGCAAAGAATAAGGTTAGTAATGATATATGTTTAATAATCGTCATCTTATCGTCATTAATTATAATAATATATTTTGTAGAAATACGCGACAGAAATAATTCATGAGACCCACGAAGCCTGGCGTCGCTTAGTCACCGGACAAATTCCATGTAAAACTGATAAATATAATATTGCAGTGTAAGTGATTTACAAGTAATATGTGCAAATTTTGTTACCGGTTATCTAAAGTAATTAAAATTTCATATTACAGTAATAATCTTGCGGTCGAGGGAAGTCCTGGAAAGATAACACCCGATAGCTCTATTTACCAATCCATTCGTCCCGGAGAGAATCAACAATCTGCACCAATTGATCCATCAAGTAAGATTTACTTATCTTAAACCATCGGTATCTTCAGTTTTAACCAATTATTTCCTTTTATTTCAATAAACAGTTGACAAATGGTTTTTCATTTCGGGCACCTCTAACCTGTAATTGATGTATCAATAATTATAGAACTAGTAATCCGTGATATTTTGATCTTAGTGAATAAGTGATCTGACCTAATGTTTACGAAAAAGTCCTACTAAATACTTTACTAATTATTGCAACATTATTCAAAAATTCTTTAAAAGAATAAGTAAACTCAGTTACTTTCAAAATAATAAAATTATTTAATACATTACCTATGGATAGAAGTTTTTATATAATTCAAACGTTGTTTTGAATTAGACTTTGAAAATAATTCAAGTTTTTTTACAAAACCTCAGCTTTATTGATAGGCGAAATAAAATAAAAAAAAAATTCGAAATGCGTTTACGTACAGAAGTAAACTGCGTCTTCTGAGGATTACAACATGCCTTTAAAAATCGATTGTTTTATTATTTACACTTCAACACGTGGAGTACAATCATAAACTAATTCAAATACTGTATATTGATTTACAATGGCTAAATCAGCATAAATATTCTTTGATTTTTATTATAAAAAAAATATCAAATTCAATAATTTAAAGAAATGTGAATTTTAAAAATCTATTATGATAATATGTTTCTATAGTATATTTTTTTTAAACCTACAATTAGGCTGAATCTTATGTTTATTAAATCATATTAAACATTACAAATATAAGAAATACATATATGTAAATCTATTCAATCCAGATTACCTGTTACAGTATAAGATCTTTAGATATTATTTATAGAGATAAAAATATTGTTTATCTATGGAATAGAATTTAGATTCTAAACCTTTCAATAAGATCAAAGCCTACAGATAATTTTTGCAGTTATGTATTATAAATCCAGATTATGTTATTTTTTTTGTAGAAACTATAAAAAAAACAAAACAAAACAAATATATATATGTATATATAATAGATAAAGAAAATAAATTTAATAAATTTTTTAAAAAAAGACTTATGGATTAATAGTCCAGTTAATAATACTCCCAATTTCTAAATACATATCCCTAGTTTAATATTCACAAAAGGCAAAAAAGCACATTTATCTTCATATATAGATTTATTGGATATTTTGCATATGTCATACCCAATAATTTTTAATCACATTCAAATTTAGTTAGGCTATATAAAAATGGGACCTCTGGTCTTCCTGACAATCATGTGCTGAAAACAGATTGAAACACAAAAGATTGTACAAGAAAAAGCTTCTGGTTTAATTTTGTCAATAGCCTATAAAACTTCAATTCAAATTGGTGACAGTAGATTTCATTATACAATTTAAAGAGATTAATTTTAAATTGAAAATCTATTCCAAGAGTAGTATTCTTCTGAACTTAAATAGACTGAAAGGACAAGGTTATTTGTTATAGATAATAACAATTTAGGTAAAAATCATTAAGACCAAGTAAGTCTAGTAAGAATTTTTAAGATTAAATCAGAATTTAAATAAGAATATCAATTTCATAGGTAATAAAAATGATATTACAATATTATACTAGCAGTATATTTCAAAAATTAGTAATAATAAATAATTGAAATAAATGGATTAATCTTTATTATAATATTTTATACAATTCTTTTCTAGCAAATAATTGAAAAATATAATTGAATTAATAGAAGAGATAAATTTAAACTAATAATAGGATTTTCTTTTTTTTATGTAAATTCTACCTAAACATAGATTCACTATATGATATAAGTTAACTAATCAAGATAATCAGATTAGTTTAAAGAAAACCAGTAGTATTAAAAATAATATTTATTAGATAATATTAATTTATAACTAGGATAATAATAGTCTAGTATATCCCAAATTCAATCCAAAATTTGACAACACTCTCTAATGGACCAATTCACCACTCCACTTTTCTAAAAGCCTACTAATCAACAATCTACAACTAGGCAGTAGTATCAGATAGTGCAAAAAAATCCCAAACATTACCAAGACCTATATAATTTGTAAAAGTTTCTCAGTTCTTAAAACATTTGGATATATCCATAAACCCTATGGTCTCAAAATCATTCACAAATCAAACAAAAGAATAAAAAGCTTTAGAGCTAACAAATATAGTGACCTCAGTGCTTTCAAAATCAAATTGCTTTCAGGAACCCTTCCTACAAAAGAAAATCTTTACAAACTATATTCAGAACAATACCCCAATCTATATTGTTCCTGATGTAGCTTATATATTGAGAATATTCAATATGTCTTCAAATACTTATTAGCATTAGAAGATATCAGCCAACTTATTATTATCATCAACAATATCCTCCATCTTGACAGCAACTACAAACCAATCTCACATGTTTGATAACTAATAAAGCTGGCATGTGATATTACAAACAATATCTTTTTCACAATCAATTTCTTCAACTGGGTTAAAGCTTCAACTGAGACCTTAACTTGTCTATACAAATCAATTTGGACATTTTGCTATGTCACAGCAAACACCTCTTCTCTTACTGGTATCTAATGGAATAATAATCTTCACAGTGACATAACAAAACAATCACCAAAAACCTAACCAAAATTAAATCACCTAATAATAACTTCATATTAATATTAACTATTATAGACGTACTTACCATTGTAGCTGACTTATATATCCAAAGTGGATTTAACTTTACTAAATGCATTTTCAAATTAATTACAGATTTTTCTAACTTCTTTTCACTCAATACTGAGTAGGTAATTATAGTTGCTCAGAGCTGCTTAATGAGATATATTGTTTTAAAAATTTCTTTTTAATATTAGTTTAGTGATACTATAGACAAGCTAATATTTAACTTATTGTATCAATACATAAGAGAGAAATTGTTTCTTTCACAATATATATCTATTATTATACAAATAAATAAAGAAATGATATTTACCTACAAAATAATAATAATAATAATAATAGTTTAGTATGTAAAGATGTTTAATATAATAATAGTAATAATAATTATTAATAAAAACTTTATATCTAAAGCTCTTGTCTAATTAAAAAAAAATAATAATAATAAATTAAAAAAATTTAATTAATTATTTTATTAATTATTAAAATATTATTCTTGATTTAAACAAAATTAAAAATTTTTTATAATTGATAATATATTTCTTTTTTATTATTAATAACTAATCAAACTATTAATTATTAAAGTATATAATAGACCTGTGGGTCTGTAGTGTAGTGGTTAACACTTCACAAATCAAATCACAAGATATCAGTTCAACCCCATATAAGGGCAGTTAAATAGAATTAATATAGTATCTGGCACCATAACCTGTATATGCACTGTTTCTCATAAGAAGCCGTTTTACACACTGATTCAGTAAGCATTGAGATTATAATTTCTAGAAAAGGTATTATAGTGCGACAATCATTCAGTTGATATTACGATAATTGTCAGAAGTTGTAAAGTATATGAGATGTCTGCTTTCAGTAAAGGTGACTTGGTGATCGTTTTCTTGTGGTACCTGGTGTCTCTTTCTGCAAGTTTTCAGAAAAGGCCTTATTTCAATTCAGTAATAGATTGCTCTGACAGTTACCTATCTTGAGAAGGCAGCAAAAACAGCAGTAAGTACTGATAGTTGAAACAATCTATAGGCCATAAGTCTGTAAGATAAGTTCCTTAAACATTTTTGGATAGCTCTAGGAAGGTGAAAATTAAATGGTATGCCATCTGCAGGTGGTTAAATTTAGAAGAATTCACTTTGCAGTGGTTTTATTCACCAAAAATAGGTATTACCCCCAGTTCTCCATATTCAAAGTTCTCCTTTAAATTTACACAGTGCCAAATAGAACATAATGATATAATAATAACATTAATGAGGCTTTGGCATATTAGTCTCAGCACAACTCCTCTGGGATGATGCTGACAGCAACAAGCCGATATAAAGTAAAATCGATATAGTTTAGTAATACATAGAATTATTTATAGATAGTAGTTCCTGTAATACATAAATTACATATGTGAATAAAATAATAAAGTACACTAGGCAAGGCTCAGCTAGTTAAACACACAAAAAAAAAAAATTAAAGTATATAATAATTTTGATATCAATTTCTTATATACTAATAAATATTATTAAATAAAATTTTTTTTTTTTTTTATACGGATAGTTTATACCTTTATTCAAATTATATTGAAATATACATTAATTTCCTTGTCGATACTCGATACATCTAGAGGTAACTAACTTAAACTTGTGGCATAAATTTGAATATCACTAAAAACTATGTTCTACCGTGAGGCTTATCACCAGCAAAAGCAACAGTATTTCTTGATCGATCTATCAAGCACTACTGATTCCTAAAAAAAATTTTTAAAATGAACCAACTTTTCTACACCTTCCGATCTCAAATTTGTAAACTTTTTCATTAAGATTCTTCAACACTTAACGAATTACTCATCGGAGTACTGTGTCTCTATTCTTTTCAAAAGAAAGAGAGGGAGACTTCTTCTTTGGCAACTTTAACGGCTACAGCGGAGGGGAATGGTTTCAGCGGCTAGCTTTATTGATCCTATGAAGGCAATAATATAGATTTTTGAAATTTTTTTTTTCTGTATTTCTTAAATAATACCAAAAGAGTACAGGGTTGGGTCTATTTTGGAGCCTTGCGTTAAACTCTTTCTAGTAAAGAAAGATATATGTCATGCTATTAATATTGTATCTTGTTTTGCAAGTAAAAGCATAATAAATAAAATAAAGTATGATAGCCATTTGCTCTTTTAAAAAAAAAAAAACATTAAAAAAATTGACTAACAATAAAGAAAAAATGTAAAATTATTAATTTTATATTTTTGTTAATAAAAAATTAAAAAATTATTCAATTTAATAATAACATTTTTTATAATTTAACAAATAAGTTTACTTAAAAATATTTAACAAAAAAATAAATATTTTTTTATATAGAATTTATTTTATTAATAAAATTGTTTTTTGAACTTTATTATTTAAAACTATAAAATTTATTTAAAAAAATTAGTTATATTATAAATAAATATTTGCTAAATTATATTTATATATTATTAATTAAATTTTTTT